TCACTCCTAGCACTGCCTGACCCCGTCGGTGACAGGACAGTAACGAACACAACTTGGAGGGCCGTAGCCGAAGCCCGCCGCCCATGGCACAGCAAGCGCGCCCGCTTTGCGACTGTACATGAAGTGGAACCGTACCAAAGTGCTGGGGTCAGTCTGCCTCTCCGCGCCGTGTCGGTCGGCTCAGGGCACCTAGCTCCAGGCTTAGGCTCAGGCCAAGCTGAAGTGACGCACGTGGAGCCGTACCAGAGTGGAAGCCACTGAAGGGTTAAGAAGTCCAGCGAGGACCAGCAAGTCGCGCTTTGGCACCTGTTTAACCACCCACCACTCCACGAAATGATCCCGACATTGCGTCTTTGTTGTCCAGCGCGGCGAGAGGCTGTGCCGCATGTCGAGTTGTCAGGCTGTGCCTGCAACTGTCGCCTTGTTGGAGGTGGGCAATTGCCTGTGTCGCTTTTTTCCGGCTTCGCTGTGCTAGAGCCTCCAGTCGGCAGACAAGTGACATGTCGCTTCTTTCTGATATAGGAAAAATTGTGTGAGTGCTCTATAAGCATCAGCGCCATCCACTATTTCGCCACAACAGCGAGCTGAAGTGACTCTCTCCACCGCACGGAAGGTGGAAACCCTACCGCTTGCCCAGACAGCAATGTCGTAACAGTAACTGGGCCCAGGAGTTGGGACCTGGCAGATCAGAACGGCACATGGAATGAAACTGGGAGGCACATGGCTCAGCGAAAGGCACAACCCCTTACTGCTCGAAAAGCAGCCCGGTCGGGACCTCTAGCACAGAAGTTGCGCCCACAGTCTGTTCGAAAGCCTCCCTAACTGCACGGCCGTCTGATCCGTAGCGGCTACAACAACAAGAAAAACAACAACAGCTACTACTACTACTACTACTACTACTACTACTAAGCAGCAGCAGCAGTCCTGCGAAGAATGAGTCCAATTGTCCAGACTCCCACTAAGGAGTCACGTTGAAGTGCTCCGACGCGGAAATTCGTCAATGGATAGTGGAAAGAGGATTCTATAGTTTTCGATGTTGGGCTCGCGCTCAACTGCTCTCTGAATCCAACTTTTGCAGTCTCCGGGCCGAAGCATTACAATATTGAAACGGTTGGTTCGGGTTGACTGATGATCGCAGATACAGGATGCTTCAAAAAAATTAATAAGCACATGAGCCGGCAAAGCCGCCCGGAGCTCACTGAGGCCAGCACGATGCAAGCAATGGCCCACACGCCATTGCCCGGCCGCCGCACAACATCCTCGCATCCCAGTTGAAACGTTCAGCAACAAAAACGATTCAAACCTATAAATCATGAAGGACGGGAGCGCCACCACCAACACCAACAACAACCCTGCTCGCACCCTGCGCACAAGCAACCACACAACCTTGACACTTCATGCTGAAATGAATGCTGGCCGGGTCACGCTACTACCAGTGATCCCGAGACCATGGTGACTCGAAAACAGACACAAAACACAATACATAACACCGATGTCAGCAGAATCACAACAAAAGCCGTCAATAACAACAACACTGGTAGAGGAACTAACTGTGCCCATCAGAACCAAGAAGCCAAGATCCTCAAAGACCCATCCTGGTAAAGACCCGAAACAGCAGGAAAGCTCAAGGGTGAACTCGTACAGGCAGCCCCCGATTCGGCAGGTCCTTCCATGCTTCCAGGTGCCCTAGGCGCAACTTCTCGTAGAGCTGCATTTCCGACGGCGTGCAGGCACGCTTCCAGTAAGGGCAGTCCTTACAGGCAGCATGCATCAGCATCGCGCATAGGAGCTGGCTCAGGCAATTCCTGAACTCACTTTACCGGCAGCGAGGGCCTTGCATGTAACGAAAGACTATGCCCGAGAAAACAAGTCGCAGAATAAGATCTACTGCCGCCTAAGAGGCCCCTGGGCAGCAGTCCAATCCCAGACTGTAGGTGATTTCTGACCTGAGGTCTTGGCAATACGACAAAAAACAAGAAGAATTAGAAGGTTCGATGCTGGTACGAGTGTTGAAGCATCTCTCTGCTTCCTCGTTTGTTGGGTGGCAGGTCTCCTGGCAAAACCTAGAAGCCAGCGCCTCGCAGAAAATGATTGCATCAAACAGGAGCTAGCGTCGAGTCGTATAGGCTGTTGAGAATGAAAAGCCTTGTCTCCATGAGATCTGCAAAGTACTCCGGGAAGAGGCAGCGCCAGGGTTCAGATTTGTACTTGTCGAGGCAGCCAGCATGCAAGCTGCTGTAGCCTCCAGACACATTGAAAAGCCCGATCATCTGGTTTGGCCAGCAACGGACTCCTGCGTCACCCAGATACCATCATGAGACGAGCGAACCAACAGATGCTGACAGGGCCCGCAAACCAGCTGGTGCGTGGGCTACAGGGTGCATATAGAACATGTATGTATATTGGTATCTAGATTACTTCTGTCCGTCCGTCTGTCGATCGGTCGGTCGGGTGTATTTGTGTAGGTAGGAAGATAGGTAGGTAGGTAGGTAGGTAGGTAGGTAGGTAGGTAGGTAGGTAGGCAGCAAGAGAGACAGACGGAAAGATAAATGAGTGCATTTATGTTTATATACATACACACAAAAACCCCGAGAAAGATG